ATTAATCTGGTAGTGGCAAACAAGAGAGACTGGGATAAGGTAGTTGAGAGGCAGGCAGACCAATAAGAAGTGACTACAACAGTTCCAGTACAAAACAGAAAGGACACTGAAATCAAAAGAAATTAACAGAAATGGAATTCTTTATATGGTAAGGCAGTTTACAATTTTTTATATTTCTATATATATCATGAGAATTTCATATAAATTAACTGCCCAAATCAAGCCAAGAGGCCCCTATACAAAAGATTATTGCACCCCCAAATCTGCACACCAAAAGGGTTATGAGACATAATCATGTACCAAATCAAAGGGCAGGGTTTGCCTTTCAAAAGACACAATCTAGTTATTATCAGCCCAAGAAGGTTCACATTATTTCTATACTAACATTTAACAATGCTCTAGGGAAGTGACAAACACTCATGTTTTAAGGACAAATATTTTTTGCATCTTTTTCCTTTCCATCATCTTTATCAGTGGAGATATTTGCATGAAAACAGGATAACTGGTCCTGGGGGATTCATCAGTTCCTATTGCTTATTTTTCATCCATGTCATCCTCTCAATTAATGTAGAAAAGAGGATTGAGACATCGAAATACCAGATTAGGGTATCAAGTAAATGTCAACCTCTAGAGTAGATGAATAATCTATAAGGACAAAAAAAAAAAGGATCTTGTTTTTATGCAAATACACTACACACAATAAAACAAAGAGAGTTTATATCCAAGAAGTCTGATCCATATCAATGTAATTCTTTCCAAGTCTAAATATAAAATCTATATTCTAAATATGTCAATAAATTCCTATGATCAAAGCAAATGACAATCAGTTGCAAAGCACTGCTACAGAAGTTTAAATAAGACTGAATTTTGAACTAGAAAATAATTTTGAAAAATCTCAGCTGTACTCATGGGACTTATCTGGCAGAAATGAGCATTTCTGTTGCATAGTTTTGGTTCAGTGCATAAAGTGGCTGATTAGGTGACTTTAAATCTCCCCACCTACAAAGCCTTAAGTTTTAGATATACCCTTAACAGTAATAATGTTTTTAACTGTGTGGATTAAAACTAAAACAAACCATACCAAGTTTCTGATTCAGTGGAAAGCCATTAAAATAGACTTATTGATGCTTAGGGAACTGATTCATTCTAAAAACTGATAAAGAGAAAGAATAATTTATTCAGTAAAAATAGCTTTCAAGGTAATAATAAATAGTTACTAAGATAAAGACCACCATAGAAAAATTCTAGCTAATAAGAAGGAATGACAGAATTAGAATATTACCATTTTGAAACCTATAATAAAATAGTGGACTTAGGCATTATCAAAGGTTCTAAAACTCTGGTGCAAGGCTGATGGTGAATTTTACAATGAATAATAAATCAGGCTAACAATATCTTTACCAAATAATTAACCTTAATATCACAAAGAGAGAAAGACATTATATACCTTCTGATAAATGTATACAATACTTATGAAATATTCTTGCCAAAATAAAAATCAAGCCTATATCTATCTATGCACCACCATGGGGATGGTAAGCAACAAAATCTAGAGTATGGAAAATGCTACTGAACAAATAACTAGGTTTAATAAATGACAAGGGAAAATAAAAGGGAGGAGGAACTATGACAGATTAAAAGAGACTTAAGCCTGGCTGGTGTGGCTCATTGGTTGAATGTTGACCTATGAACCAGGAGGTCACAGTTTGATTCCCAGGTTGTGGACTCAATCACAAGTAGGAGGTGTGCAGGAGGCAGCTACTAGTAATTGATGATTCTCTCTCATCACTGATGTTTCTCTCTCTCTCTCTCCCTTACTCTCTCTGAAATCAATAAAAACATATTTTAAAATAGTAATAAAAAATAAATCAAAGAGCCCAGCTGGCATGGCTCAGTGGTTGAGCACTGACCTATGAACTCAGGGCACATGCCAGGGTTGCAGGCTCAATCCCCAGTGTGGGGCATGCAGGAAGCAGCCGATCAATGATTCTCTCTCATCATTGATGTTTCTATCTCTCTCTCTATCTCTCTTCCTCTCTGAAATCAATAAAAACTATTTTAAAAGTAAATGAATAAGTAACTAAAAGAGACTTAAAAGACATATCCACCAAATATGGTATATGAACCTTAGTTAAGATACTGATTTAAACAAGCTAACTGTATAAAAGCAATTATGAGTCAACCAGGAAAATCTGAATCTTAATTGGGTATTTGATGACATTAAGCAAGTTTGCTAAAAAATTTTAGGCATAATAATGGAAGTGTAGTTACATTAAAGAAAGAACGACAGAAAGAAAGGAAGGGAGGGAGGGTCCTTGTCTTTTGAAATCACATCTGAAGTTATTTGACAATGAGGTAATCTGATGCCTGAGAATTGCTTTAAAAGAATCATGGGAGGTTGATATAAGTAAAACAGATTGCCCATGTTGACTATTAAAGCCAGATATGAGTACATGAAGTCATTATTTTAGTCTCTCTACCTTGGTATATGTTTAAAATTTTCCATAATTAAAATTAGTGAAAAAAAACGCACACAAACTCACTTCATTATCTTTCTCAGTAGGAAAGCAGAAAAAAACACACACTATTTAGAGAAAATACAGCAATTTCAACTATAACTAACTAGAGATAACATTATTAATCAATATATTCGATAATATAGCATCTTCTTGACACACTGAGCATAAAATTTATTTCATAAAAAAATTGACACAGAGAGATAAAGGATTGATCATTATTATTATTACAGCATTTATTATCCAGAGCTAGAAAGAGAATCAATTTCTATCCTATACAAGCCTTGCATTCATGAATTTAATGATCAACGATTTGCTTTTTCATTATAAACCCTGGAGGTCTATGACATACCTGGTAATTAGTAATTTTACCAAGACATAAACTTCAACCACAAGAAATACACAGTACATAGAGAAGAGTTAGGTCACAATGAGTGAACCTAGCAGAGAACCTAGCAACCATATCTCAAAGCAGTTTGTTGTTCTCTGCTTCTTGATTCACGAAGTGATTAAAAAATGTTTTCTTGGTAAAAAAACAAAACAAAAAAAGAGCCAATGTTAATCACAGTAATGGAAATAAAAGATAAAGAGGACAAAAGAAGTGATGACTATCAGTCAAAAATCATAGGCTTTAAATTAAATTTTAAAGTTAAATGTTGTATTTGGAAGTAACTTAAATCAATGATGTGTAAAAACCCACCATATGCTCTATAAACAAGAAAAATAATTTATGAAACATTTTAGGATTGCTCTAATCCATCCTCTAATCCAGTGATGGCGAACCTTTTGAGCTCGGCGTGTCAACATTTTGAAAAACCCTAACTTAACTCTGGTGCCGTGTCACATATAGAAATTTTTTGTTATTTGCAACCATAATAAAACAAAGATTTATATTTTTGATATTTATTTTATATATTTAAATGCCATTTAACAAAGAAAAATCAACCAAAAAAATGAGCTCGCGTGTCATAGGTTCGCCATCACTGCTCGAATCAGTACAAAACTTGCATTTTGAAGAAAATTATAAGCTATACTAGCCTCTCAGAACTGTGGATTTATGAAGGTCTCAAGAGGTATCTACTGAGAACAAAGTTCTAACCACTGTATTTATATTGAATATCTCTTTCAATTACAAAGTGAAAATTTTCTACAATTCCTTTTCTAATTTTATAATGAATACAGTATAGGAAGAGATATAATTTATCTATATATATATATGAAAGCCTAAGCGACTGAATGACCGGTCACTATGACACGCACTGACCACCAGGGGGCAGACACTCAACGCAGGAGCTGCCTTCTGGTGGTCAGTGCACTCCCACAGCCAACCTCCCGCGGCCCCTATCAGCCCGATCACCCTATCAGCCCAATCACTGGCCAGGCCAAGGGACCCAACCCATGTACAAATTCGTCCACCAGGCCTCTAGTAAAGAAATAATTTTAAACTAAAATAATGAAGAACAGATAGGAATAAGTAAGATCATTTTTAAATTTATTTTTTTTAATGTATTTTATTGATTTCAGAGAGGAAGGGAGAGGGAGAGAGATAGGAACATCAATGATAAGAATCAATGATCAGCTGCTTCCTGCACACCCTCTACTGGGGATCAAGCCTGCAACTCAGCATGTGCTCTGATGGAATCAAACCATGACCAGCCAGTTCTTATGTCAATGCTCAACCACTGAGCAACTCTGGCCGGACAAATGAGATCTTTTAAAACCATGCCCATGGTACAGATTATGTTTTTGTTCTGCTATCTATCCCTTCCTTTGAGGAATCAATTGTTTTCTCCCATTCTGTGTGATTTGATTTAGACTAAGCCTTTCAATCTGTGTCTGCACCTAGGACCCAGGCCTGATCTATCAGAGTGCTCCATGCTACCTGGCTAAAGGACTGGTTCCAGGTTAGGTATATGAGCCAAGATGGAACAGTCAGAGTCCTCCCAGGACCTTTCTTTTGGAATGTTCAGAAAAGATGTTCTTTCTTTGGGGACTATGAAATTTAAAGACATATAAATTAGAGCTCATTTTGGCCACTTGCCCAGTTCTAGGAAAAAGCTATCTGCAGCAGCAGAGAATAAGACTAATGCATGAGTGAAACAAAGTCTTGAGATGCAAACCAAAAGCAAATCCCAATGATATCATTAACAGTCATGGATCTAGATATCCTCAAAGCTATTTCTACTCCTGAATTTTGATTTATGTGAACTAATAAAGTCCTTCTTTTGCTTAAGCTACTTTGATTGGACATTCTATCACTTAAAACTAAAAGGATTTCCAATATATTTTTACTGTACAGAGAAAAATAAAAGTTACCTAGTAAACTCAGTAGTTATTCCAGCATACTCTATCATAAAAGGCACACTTTAGATTATAATGACATCTTACCTTCATAAAATGTAATACAGACATCTGTATTACAGCTAGAACTCATCATGAAATACACAACAGGCAACCCTGAATTAATGTGATCTGGGTACTCACACTCATCTAGCCCCAGCTGATAGGCCAGGTTCTGTAGGCCTCGTACCTTCTCCATCAAATTAGCTGTGGTGAGGCTCCCCAGTTCTGAAATAGAATCATTTATTTCAATATCATTTCTATACACTGTTCTCTAATAACAACTCATTTGAGATGGGAATCCTTCTTATACAAAATTTTAAGCTTTAATTTTTATCAAATAAGAGCATAAATCCATTTCTTTTCTCCTCCAACCACTCCCGCCCCCGCCACACACACACACAATAAATTTTTCCCACTAATGCAAAATTGGGTCAGATGAGCTTGCCCAATAGGAGGAGAGAGTTAGCAAACTATGTTTTATCTTAAGGATCCTTTAACAACATTCATTTTGCCTATCATACAAAATGAATACACAATACAAGTATCAAACCTTGTGACTCCACATAGCATTGAGAAAGCCTATACTGGTAGACAGATCTGTCTTGAAAAATGGACACTAACCCCACTGTCTTTTATTAATTCTTATTTAAATTAATAAAATAGTGACAAAACATGTACTGTTCCCCCATTTCCCTAAGTTTAGAAAACAAACACTAAATATTAACCCAAACTTTCCCTTCAAATCAAATACCTATAAAAAATTTTAAGTTTACCAAGTAAAAAGACAGTATACTTAAAAAACAACAATTTACTTTCCCAGATTTTCATTTAAATAGCATAGCACAAAATTCCTTTTAGGTTTAAGATACAGGTCAATTTATATGAAACATTATGCTATATCCCTCATTAAAAATTTAACGTTTCCTTAGAAAATGCATATTGATGGCATATAAATGTCTGTTTGGAACATAACATTAGAACAATGAACCTGAAATGCCCTTGAGACTTAATATTTCCAGAGTTGGAGGAGGGGAACCTGCATTTAAGCATTTCATGCAGAACAATGAATTACCTTTGAAATCAAATAAAGGTGTTTTTTTCTCCCACCTATCATCAATATCTGGCATAAGTAGTAGACTTTCTTGATCTGTTCAGCTGCTTAAATAGCTCAAGCATCCAATTTTTACCTTCATTTCAGTCTATTACTTCACAATCATCATGAATCTTATCATCAGAGGATGATTAAAAAATAAATAAATAAAGTAGAGCAAAAATCAAGGAAAATTAATGTTTTTTAATTTAAATTTCCACTTGTGGTTCAGTTCCAAGTCATTTATCAAACAACAATAATCACTACTTATAGTATTCTTTATTGGAGAAATTGATGGGAAAGAATAAAATAAGACAGGTCTTACCTATGAAGGGATTGTCAACTAATAGTACTGACAATAATATATAGCAGTAAATCCTAAATAAGCACTTGTTTATAGTGGAAAGAGACTAGACTTAAAATAAGAGTTTAAATTTTTTCACTCTAACAAATCTTGGTTAAGTTAACCCTTTGAACCTTAGATATCATCATATCTAGCTCACAGGACCTTTATGAGAAATGAGAAAATTTATGCAAGAGCTTTTTGTAAACTGTAAGCATTATACAAGACAAAAGTATATTAAAGGACTTTAGCAGCAGATAAAATCATTATGAGCAGGTCTTAAATTAGAAGGATTGCTACATATGGAAAAGTTAAGAAAGGCATTTAGACATGAAGAACATCAATAAGGATAGTTAGGTAGGCAGTTTGAGTGAGCTAAGAATACTTTCAAGGGAACAGTTAGAGAAAAACTAGGAAGGTGGTTTGTGGGAGAGCATAAATATCAGGTTAAAAGATAGAAGTCACTAGCATAGCTTACCTTTCAACATGTCAATATCATCACGTTCTATTTCAGCCATCCATTTGGGTGGCGAGCTAGTAATAGGCTGTCAAAAAATAAGAATATATCCACTCAGTTACATACAAAGTGTGAAGAGACCCTACTTTTCCTTCTTATAGGTAGCTTGTCACATAGCATTCAGTTTGTGTGAAAATACTGGCAAATTATAATTTCTAAAACCCTGATTTCTCCAGATTCAGATACGGCCTATAAATAATCACCTTACAAAATAATACTGCTCATCCTTAAAGCTGGTCTCAGAGAAATGATCTTGGAAGAATTAAGTCTGACTACTGTCATTGTTTCATGCATAACAGGTTAGTATAGCAATTAAAGAAATTACTTGAAATTCAGTTCTGGTGAAAGCCTCCAACTGAAATGTTTGAAACAATAATCAGTAAGTAACATTTTCTAGCAGAGGAGAAGATTCAAAGAAGAATCAAGAATTGAAAATCCTCAATCTGCAAGAACACTGTAATGATCATCACTTGAAATTTCATTTTATAGCAGGTGTTTTAGAAAACTTTAGAATTTTAAGTTATTTTCTGATTTCTGAAAGTGAACTTACAAAATTTGAAAGAGCCCCTTTTTAGAATAGCTTTAGGCAACAGTTTTCAACCCTAGTTGTAAGAGTCATCTATGATGTAACAACAACAACAAATCCAAATGACCTAGCCATACCGTAGATGCAATGATTAGAATATCAAAGGTGGGGGAAGGGTCCATTGGAGAGAACAGAGCAAGGAACAGTACATATGTACTTTTTAAAGGCTCCATAGCTGCATATTGATGATTTTGTTGTGCAGGTAGGAGTACAGTTGAGAAACATTACTTCAGTTTTGAGCCCCCTCCCCTTTTTAAATATATTTTTATTAATTTCAGAGAGAAAGGAAGAGGGAGAGAGATGGAAACATCAATGATGAGAGAAAATCACTGATCGGCAGCCTCCTGCATGCCCCACACTGGGGATCGAGCCTGCAACCCAGGCATGTGCCCTTGACCGGAATCGAACCTGGGACCCTTTGGTCCACAGGCTGATGCTCTATCCATTGAGCCAAATTGGTTAGGGCAAGCCCTTTTCTTTTTTTAAAAAGTAATATTTACTTAGCACTATGCAACAAGCAAAACACTTTACATGCATTATGTTATTTAATTTCTAAATCAACCCTATGAAGTAGGTATTATTACCCTCATTTTACAAATAAAAAAACAAATGTACAGGAAGATTATAAATCACTTGCCTCAGGTCACACAGCTAGTGGACCCAGGATTCAAAATCCATATAGTATGAGTTCAGAAACCACTACTCTATACTACTTTCCCTAGAAGGCTATTATAGGTCAAACTCACCATTTCTGGAAACAGATTATACAAGGAGATCTTAACCTGGGATCCTGGGATGACCCTGGCCCCCTAGAAACAAAACTCAATATGTATGTCCATATTTCTAGGGAAAAGGTGTAGATCAGTCATGGGCAAACTATGGCCCGCGGGCCGGATCCGGCCCGTTTGAAATGAATAAAACTAAAAAAAAAAACGACCGTACCCTTTTATGTAATGATGTTTACTTTGAATTTATATTAGTTCACACAAACACTCCATCCATGCTTTTGTTCCAGCCCTCCGGTCCAGTTTAAGAACCCATTGTGGCCCTCGAGTCAAAAAGTTTGCCCACCCCTGGTGTAGATACTTAATCAGATTTTCAAAAAATACCATACTATAATAAAAGTTATTTAAAAACCACTTATTTATATTTGGTAACAACTAACTCAAAAGACTTAGTTGTTACCAAATACAACGAACTAAACTGAAAAGTCGGTATGAATAAGAATGTAAGAAAATTAATCAGATACTTTCTACTCCATCCACAAGACAAAAGCTGATCTAGTAATAATAGCTACCATGTATTGTTTATTATGTCCCGGGTACTTTGCAAAGTGTTTTAACTTGCATTATGGCATTAAAAATCCTATGAGATAGTTTCAAATGAGAAAACTAAGGCTCAAAAATTTTAGAAAAGTTGCTGAGGTCACAGGTAGTTAAGAAATAGATTCAGGCCCTGGCAGTGTGGCTCAGTTGGTTGAGCATCATCCTGTGCACCAAAAGGTCTCCAGTTTGATACCTGGTCAGGGCACATATCCAGGTTGTGGGTTTGATCCCCAGTTGGGGTACATGCGGGAGGCAACTGATTGATGTGTCTCTCTCACATCTATGTTTCTCTCTCTCTCTCTCTCTCTCTCTCTCTCTCTCTCTCTCTCTCAAAATCAATGGGAAATATCCTTAGGTGAGGATTAACAAAAAACAAACAAAATAAGAGTGTGGATGCCAGTAATTAGACTAATGATTCAAAGCCTGATTCTGGCACATATAGCCTATAACCTTGGGTAACCTACTTATTCTCTCTGTGCCTATATCCTTGTCTGTTAAATGCCTCATATCGTTTTGTGAAGGTTAAGTAATATATGTGTAAAGTGCTTAGAACAGTGCCTGGCACATGGTATATAAGTGGTAGCTAATATTATAATCATCATATTCTCCTAGTTGTGGGAATATGGAAGAGAACATGTGTACAGCATCTAGCACAATTCCTGCTGCCCTGCAAATAGAAAAGTTGTGACTTGTTGGATTTCTTCCTTAGGTTTCTGATGAGCCACTGAGAAATTTCAGAAATCCTCTAAGGAGGTATATAAGTTAAGGTCATAATGCATCACATAAACAAAAGAGAAAAGCTTCAAGATCATAGTTTGGTGCCCAGCCAGTTTGGCTAAATGGATAGAGCGTCAGCCTGCGGATTGAAGGGTCCCAGGTTCAATACCGGTCAAGGACACCTGCCCGGTTGTGGGCTCGATTCCCAGTAGGGGGTGTGCAGGAGGCAGCCGATCAATGATTCCCTCTCATCATTGATGTTTCTCTCTCTCTCTCCCTCCTCTCCCTTCTCTGAAATAAATAAAATAATTTATTCTAAAATTGGCCAAAAAGAATGCTGGCGTTACATTAAATATTTCAACTGCCTTCTGTTAAAAGCTTTTAAGCTAAGAAAAGAGGCTAATAGACAAAGGTCAAAATGCCAAAATAGAGCATTTGGACAGAGGAAGGCATTATCATCAATTAACATGATAATAATATAAACAGATTTCCAGGGCTGTAGTTACAAAGTGATTTAAAGACTACTAGAGGCCTGGTGCACAAAATCTGTGCACTCAGGGGGGGTCCCTCAGCCCAGCCTGTGCCCTCTCACAGTCTGGGACCCCTCGGGGGATGTCCACTTGCTGGCTTAGGCCCGCTCCCCGGGGAATTGGGCCTAAGCTGGCAGTCAGACATCCCTCTGGCAGCCCTCAGGGGATGTCCACTTTCCATTGGGGAGCAGGCCTAAGCTGCAATCGGACATCCTTAGCGCTGCTGAGGAGGTGGGAGAGGCTCCCACCACCACCACTGTACTGGCAACCATCAGCCTGGCTTGTGGCTGAGCAGAGCTCCCCCTGTGGGAGCGCACTGACCACCAGGGGGCAGCTCCTGCATTGAGCGTCTGCCCCCTGGTGGTCAGTGTGTGTCATAGTGACCAGTCAATCCCAGTTGTTCTGCTGTTAGGGTCAATTTGCATATTACCCTTTTATTATATAGGATGACATTATTTTGAAAACAAAGAAACAAGAGATATTTGAGCTGTTACCAAGGAGCAAAACATGATATAAACTTCATTAGGTAATTAAAATATTACTTACACTTTTGAAAGAAGCTGCAAATTCAGCAACACCTGGTACTAAAAATAAAAGATACAACATTATTTATTCAATTTTAGTGTCCCAGACATAGAAGATTCAAATAATAAGAAAACAGCCTGTCTTCAAGCTTACTGTCTGGAAGAGGAAAGAGAGAGTAAATCAATAACTGTAATACTGCTTAAGTTCTCCAAGAAAGATACCAGATGGTATGGTAGAACCCCCACCCCCACCATCACCAAAAAAAAAGTAAATCTAAATCAGACTGAGGGTGAGGCTGCAGGAAAGCTTCCTCAATTAAACTTTGAAGGATCGGGAATTAGCTAACTGGGAGGGTGGCAAGATATAATATCTCTTACCAGATAAAAGTTTAAATTTCCTTTGTAGGTACATGGGTCTGCCAATCCAATTGTTTATTTAAATGTCTTACAGGAAGAGTCACATAAAAAGCCAGATATGTAAAAATAAAATGATATTCAATCTCACTTAGAGAAATACAAACTACAAATAAAGATCAGTAACATTCAATATCAGCTAGTATGTGAGTAAATGGTCACTCTCATACACAGTCATCCTCTCCCATGTGCACAAAGCTACTTGTGCAAGGATATTCATTATCATTAAATTATTTGTAATATCAAAAGTTGGATATAATTTAGGTTTCCAAATAGGGTATGAAAACATAAACTAAAGTATATTTATACTTTAAAAGAAGTAAGTAAACTTAAACCTACTAATATGGAAGGATCCATTAATAAATTACTACCACTAAGTGGAATAAGTTAAGTTGTAGACCATGTACATATGACCCCATTGTAATGCCCCCCTCAAAAAACACACACAAAAAAACCCTCTATATACTTAAAAATATATATTTATTTGCTTATTTAAATAAATATTAAAAAGGTCAAAAGGATTGTATCAAACAACTAATGGTGATTTTATAAGAGTGATCAAAGGAGGTGAGGAAATACATTAAGTATCTCTCTATATAAATTGTCTGAACTTATTACATATATTTTTTTAATGATTACTTTTTAAAGGCTCCCCATCATTTCCTAAGTCACAGTGTGTCCTGAAAAAAGTAAACCACCAGCTATTCTGAACATTGGACCACAGAATTCATTCTCTTCCCTTTGAAGAAAAATTAAAATTTTAACCATTACCATTAAATACCTCCTTAAAAAATATCCTTCAATGTAGCACTGGTTCTCCTGCATTGATTCTGATATAAAGAAACCAAAAACTTACATTGCTCTGGCCAAAGATCTGGTGAGGCACGATCAAGTTTTTCAAAACTTAATAAAGATGCTTCCAGATCCGTCCCTGGAACAAAATACCCAGATGAGCCAAGAAGACACAAAACATGTTCGTTTACATTTTAAAACATTTCAATCTCAAAGAACATAACATACTGGAACATTCACCTGGAAGTCTAGATAGCGGAGTTCTATAACTGCAAATAAATGTTGTAAAAATGAATCATTTTCCCTTATCAAACCTCACTTTTCCGATATCTAATGTTTTAGTGGGGTGTCAGAAAAAATGAGTATCAGCAAACCCACCTGCACCTTCACTCATACTCTTAGACTTTCCTCCAGTTACAATCAAGTGTCCCTGCTCTCAAGACAAACTCCTCTGCTAGGGTTCTGAATTCCATCTTCTCTTGCTCTGTCAAAGGTATCATGAGTAATAATATCTTTCTTGCACAATCAGTTTCTACCATCTCTACTGCTTCATACTCAACAGCAAGCAAGCCTGCTCTAGAATTTCCCTTCTTTGAAAAAGCTCTTCCTTGACTCCATTATCTCCCCACTCCTTCTCTCAAAAGCGCTTGAGTTGTCTGTCTATCTTGCTGCCTCTACGTCCTCACCTCACATTCTCTCCTTAACCCATGACAATCAGGCTTCTGTTCCTATATGCATGGAAACTGTTGTCGTCAAGGTTATCTATGACCTATGTTGCTAAATCCAGTGGTCACTTCTCGGTTCTCTCCTGTGTGACCTCTTTGCAGCTTTCACACTGACCACTCTCCTTGAAACACTCCACCTCCAGCTTCTGTAAAACCATTATGCTGGTTTTTCTCCTTCCTCCCTAACCCCTTTTCCTCAGTCTCCTCTTTCACTGAGGCCCCATCCTAAACTGGCTTCACTCTCTACACCTAAAGTCTCATGAGAAAATCTCATCTAGTCCCACAGCCTTTACTGTGCCAATGACTCCATATTTATATTTCCAGGCCCAGTCTTTCCCTGAACTTCAGAGTTATGTATCTAACTAATACTTGATATCTCTCTCCATTTACACATGTGAAAAATCCCTTAATTCTAATATGTTCAAAACCATACTCTCCCAGTCCTCTATGTCTCAAGAAATAGCACTACCACAAACCCCAGTTCTCAAAAACCCAGATACCACCTATTCTTTATGCCTCTCTTTCCTTCACCCTTCCATAACCCTCCATTAGTAAATCCACTAGTTACCATCTCCAAAATACACCCGCAAACCAAATTAATTAACCAAGAAACCATGATTTCTCTCCTGGACAACTGCAATAACCTCTTAACAGGTCTCCCTTTTCCCATTCTTATCCCTTCTCCTCCCTACCCCCAAATCTATTGTCCACAAAGCAGCCAGAACTGATTTTTTAAAAAATGCCAATTAGTTCATGTCACTCTTCAGCTTAAAGGACTTCTTCCCAGCTAAATTCGTGAATTTGTACCTACCATGCCCTATAAAATCCTACATGATCCAGCCTAATTCTTTGATGCCATTTCCTCTCTACTCTTGCCTGGGCACACAGTAGATACTGGATATTAAAAATAGTTAACATGTGTTGAGTACATATTATATGCTCAGTATGCTAACTAGTTGCATAAATCAGGTAATTTAATGACACAAACAGTTTTTAACATTTTCTGAATAAGCCACATCTTTTGAAATCTGGAAGAAAAGAAAAAAAGCTATGGACTTATGGACTCACTCCCCAGAAAATGCACATGTATATAAATGTTTTCAACATGAACTTTCTCTAAATTGAAACATGAACTTTTCTCTAAATTGAATTTGCCCCCCAAATGTTCTAAGAGAATTTCCAATAGCATTCTAATTGGTCAAGAACTTGACCCTAATAATTGCCTTAATTAAAGCATCCAAATTGGTAAGAAAGGAAAACTGTAACACAAAGTGTCAGTTTTCAAATTCCAAAGAATGTTACCAATAACAAAAATAAGCTTATTGGGAGTAGGAGCTAATAACCAACAGGGGTAGCCTTATGAAAACCACAGTTGGGGGCATAACTCAGAATCTGCTGTGAGGCTTACTCTCATACATTAAGTAATTAGATGGCTTTACTTGATTTCAGCTTTCTCCTTTTCAAAAAAGTCCCAGCAAATTTAGCATTAAAAAGACAAATGAGGCCCTAACCGGTTTGGCTCAGTGGATAGAGCGTCAGCCTGCGGACTCAAGGGTCCCAGGTTCAATTCCGGTCAAGGGCATGTACCTTGGTTGCAGGCATATCCCCAGTAGGGAGTGTGCAGGAGGCAGCTGATCGATGTTTCTCTCTTATTGATGTTTCTAACTCTCTATCCCTCTCCCTTCCTCTCTGTAAAAAATCAATAAAATATATTTAAAAAAAAAAAAAAAAGACAAATGAGGTCCTGGCCGGGTATCTCAGTTAGTTAGAGCATTGTCCAGATATGCCAAGGTTTCGATCCCCAGCCAGGGAACATACAAGATTCAACAAATGAATGCATAAATAAGTGGAACAAATCAATGTTTCTCTCTCTCTCTCTCTCTCTCTCTCTCTCTTTTCCATCCCTTCCTCCCTCTCTCTAAAATCACTCAATTAAAAAAAAAGAAGACAAATGAGTAAATGACCTAATCTTTTTCATATCAACATTATTTGAATTAAATTTTAAAGACAAGGACAGGTAGAACATTACAAATAGAAGTGAGAGAGCTAGGCAATGGAATATTTTAGGAAGATATACTTATTTAGAAACTGAAATTAAGTCCAAAGTGCTCCCCTTGATTTTGTCAGATTAAAAAAAAAGTTTAGGCCGAAACCGGTTTGGCTCAGTGGATAGAGCGTCGGCCTGCGGACTGAAGGGTCCCAGGTTCGATTCCAGTCAAGGGCATATACCTGGGTTGCGGGCACATCCCCAGTAGGAGATGTGCAGGAGGCAGCTGATCGATGTTTCTCTCTCATCGATGTTTCTAACTCTCTATCTCTCTCCCTTCCTCTCTGTAAAAAATCAATAAAATATATTTAAAAAAAAAAGTTTAGGTGGAGAAGTGAAACTTTGTAAAAGATGAAACTAAAGATTTTTACACATAAAGAGTAGCAATGGAGATTGCTAGAAGATCAAAGGAAGAAATATATAATGTTTCCAATATTCTTCCTGGTTAAAGAAAGGAAAAAGAAATGAGAGAAGACAGGGAAAAAATAAATACAAGGAACACAGCTCTAAAACCTCCAAAACTTAGAAATCTAAAAATAACCTCGTAATAAACTAAAATTTTTAACAGAAATTACTTCTATCACTTGGCTTTAAAAAAAAAACTGTGGTAAAATATACATAATGAAATTTACCATTTTAACCATTTGTTAAGTGTACAGTTCAGTGGCATTAAGTACATTCACAATGTTGTGCAACCATTATCACAATCCATCTCCAGAACTTCTTCACCTTCCCAAACTGAAACTCAGTGCCCATTAAACAACTCCCCATTCCCTTGGCTGACTATTTAAATGTCACCCCCACTTCTTTCTCTTTCCTGGCATGAGAAGGACATTTTACCCAGAGGGCACCCAGGCAAGGAACGGAATCTCTCTTGACTCTGAACCCATAATTTCTTTTTCTTTTTACTATATTTTTTATTGATTTCAGAGAGGAAGGGAGAGATAGAAACATCAATGATGAGAGAGAATCATTGATTGGCCGCCTCTTGCATGTCCCACACTGGGGATCCAGCCCACAACCCGGGCAAGTGCCCTGACGAGGAATCGAACCGTGACCTCCTGGTTCATAGGTGGGCGCTCCACCACAGAGCCACTGTGGCCGCGCTGAACACCCATAATTTCTTTTACAGTTTACCTGCACGCAAAAAAAACTTAAGACTCGGTTTAACTTGAAACTTAAGCCAAAGTAACATTCTTTCAACTATGAACAAGACAGATCTAGAATTTATGACCCTGTGTGAAAGCGGCAAAGTTAACAATAACTACGCTGGCAGAGATCGTGAACAGCGGTGAAGAGGGGCATATCCAGATGCCATGTCCTGGGAAAGCCTCTCTGGGAGGTGACAGCTAAAATAAGACCTGAAACCGCGAGAATGTACATGAATGATTAATCTTTTCCTCTCCCAACGCGCCTAGCGTTATGCCTTCCAGGTAACCTGTACAGCTTTCTTGGCCCCAATTTCCTCATTCCTGAAATGAAGTGCCAAGATTCCTTCCAAACACAAAACTGTGTTGGTGTGAGGAGGGTAAACTACATATCAGTGAAACGGACGTGGGGGTGGGGGCAGGAGAAGCAAAAATTGAGTGCAGAAATGACTGCAAGACCCTCACTCCCCAAAGCAGGATCGGATCGGGCGCAGAAGCACAAGGGCACACACACCCGCATAACTTAGCTGCTGAGATGACCTGCCCCTTGGACAATATACAGGCAGAAATCGTTCCCTCGGCCCGGGGGAACATACGGCAGAAGCAAGAGAGACTGAGTCGTGTACAGAACTACCCTCAAAAGCTCAATTCTCATTCTCCTTGGGACTCGCTCGGCGAGGGGCCGGGAAGGTCCCCCGCTTCTCGAGCTGCCAGGACAACCGTACCAATCTGGGCAGAAAGAGGATGAGGTCGGCCACCAATCCCAGCTACGGTGGGAGAGAAGAGTGCCAGGCGATCAAAGATGAAAGAGCCAACCCTCGAATGGGGCGCCCCAGAAGAAAGCTACCAGAAGGCACCTCCTTTCCCCCAGCTGTAATCTCCGCCGCCGCCCTCCGTGAAGCTGAGGCTAAGGGAGCGGCTGGGCCCGGATGGGTCTCCCGCGGGTGCCCCCCTCCACCTGGCTGGTGCACAGCGGGGAAACTGAGCTCCTCCGGAGCATCTGTAAAGAATCGGCGAGCTGAAGACGCACCCGCATCCCGAGGAAGAGAAGTGGGAGGGGGAAAGAGAGGAGCCCAAGTTCGACCGGCAGACGGAGAGCGGAAGTTGCCAGGGGGGCAGGCGAAGGATCTCTAAGCCGGCTCTTACCCTCTGTGGGAGACGCCATCTTCCAACCCATGTCACGTGACGCGACCAACCGTCGGCGGGAAAGCGAGGACCCGCAAGCCACGCCCCCAAAGGGAAACCGTATCCCCACTCGCAGGCCCCATCTCGTTTGCCCCTTCTAGAGCGATCTTGGCCTAGCCCCGCCCCCAGTGCTGGCCACACCCCTCACGCACTGGAGGAGGCGGAGCGCCTGCCAATTCTAGGAAGGCTTTATTTACTTTCCTCAGTGAGGGGGCGGGGCCGCAGTCGTCCCTGTGGCCAATCGGGGCTCCCGGTGAAGGGGCGTCTTCCCTGCGTGCTGAATGGAGAGCACCCAAGTGAGGGGCGTCCTCCCTACCTCCGCCAACAGAATTTGCTGAGGTGGGAGAAGGGAGAGAGCGCTTTCACTTCTGACCAATCGCCTGTCCCCAAAACTGGGCATGAGGGTGGAGTCAGGAGTTAGGGCGAGTGATTGGCCGGGGAAATGGCCCTCTCCACCAATGAAGAGGCGCGGCAGGATGAAGGGCCAAGTCTGGCAGCTGCAGTTCTGCTCGGGAGTCACGGGGAGTAGAGGCCCCGGGAACCATGGCGGCGGTAGTGGCGGCGGCGGCTGTGCGGGCTCGGATCCTGCAGGCGAGTGAGGGTGGCGCCTAGGGGTCGTGAAGCTAGGAACTGGGTCGTTTCCGTCCACTCTCTGAGTCAACCCCATCCTGGCCGACCCTGCTGTTCCCACAAGACCTGTCCGGCCCTGTCCCACCCCCCGCGCTCCAGGTCCGTCCTCGTGGGATCCAAACCCGGACCATCGTGGGATCCTGCCCCTCCCACCCTTTTCCTCTTGAGCCTCCCCTCCTGTGGCTCTGGCCCGCTCTCCTCCTCCAGCCCTGCCCCCTTTCTGCTGCCACGCTCGCTTGCACTCACCTCTCCTTGGTCCTCGCACATTCTTTCCCCTTCACCTCTGTACCTGCCACCTCGCTGCCCCGAAACTCCCCTCTGGGTCACCTTTTTTAGAGCCTTTTCACCTGCCAGGAGCGTCCAGATTGTCTCCTTCCCCCACCCTTACTTCACTGTCTCTAATCCGAGCTGCAGGGGGTGGGGGGGAGGAGGCACTGAGGGGCGAGGGTCAGTGGGTGAACTTTGAATCTGCTTCTGGAAACGTACACCAGGTTTCCCCCCCAAAGCAGCCCTGTGCTGTTTTCCCCAGCTGTGGCCATTTGCTTTTCCATCGCCCCGGGCTGCCTGCCCCCTTGCTTGCTGAGACTTTGTTAAACTTCTTCTCAGCAGAGTTACAGTGTTCGTATTGGCAGTAAGCAAAAAGATATCTAGGCTACTAGTTTGACCCAAGCACGTGCCAGGGACTAAACAAATCTGAAACAGGTGAGAGAAAACAAGTGTAAGTCCCAAGTTCCTGCTCCCACGTCCGTTTTTAGTGGGCTGGTGCACCCTCAGCATTGCCCATGGGGCCTGGGTGCGGGGGGATTGGGTCCTAGGGAGCCAGCCGGAGAGGTGGTGGAGCTGCAGGAGCTCATGCCTGAGGCCTGTGACCTCCAGCTCTCTCCATAGCCCTTCCCTTCTTGTTCGTGGCTGAGCAAGGACTTAGAAGAGGAGGCAAGATTTACTGCCGACAGCATGGCCCCTCTTACTCATTACCTCCAACCCGGGGACTTCTTCCTTCATATTACTGGACTTTTACATAATATTGGTATTTACCACTTTCTAGTGAATTCTGCTGCAGAAACGTAATCGTTTTTAAGATTCTTAGCAGAGTCAGCAAAGGTCTATGTTGAAATATGCTATTTAATGGGAAAGTGTGGTGAATGGGTTGGACGGGTTTGTCAGATGATCTAGCGTCACTTGTATATTTCTTACTGTGATCCAAGTGTTGTTTTTTCTAGTGTCCTTTTTTAGTCGTAGACAGCGAAATTTCCACCCTGTGTTTTCCAGTTCTCCTTGAAATCTTTTAATGAAATTTACTTTTTTCCCTTTGCCTCCTTCCCCTCCCCTCAATCACAATGAATCATTAAGAAGAGAGCCTTAGCCCTGGACAGCTGCTCAGTGATTAGAGCTTCAGCCCTGGGACGGAAGGGTTTCGAGTTCGATTCCCCGTCAAGGGCACATGCGGGAGGCAACCAATCCATGTGTCTCTCTCTTGTCATTGTTTCTCTCTCTCTCTCTTTCTCTGTCTTCCTCCTCCTCCCTCCTTTCCACTCTCTCTAGAAATCAATGGAAAAAATATCCATGGGTGAGGATTAAAAAAAGAGAGAGAGAAAGATCCTTAAGAGGGCACTATATTTTGTCTTTTGCATCAAGGTGAAGAACCTCCCTCCCCATATACTTTATTTTGGAAATACACTATTTTCTTAGTCATTTGGAGAAACTTCTGAGTTTAGAACAGAAATAGTAATCCTTAGCCGAATAGTAGTTACTGTAACATGAAACTTTGATAAAGAGTAGCCTAGATTCTGGCAGTCATGAATATTAGAGGACTATCGCCCTAGCCGGTTTGGCTCAGTGGATAGAGCGTTGGCCTGCGGACAGAAGGGTCCCAGGTTGATTCCAGTCAAGGGCATGTACCTCGGTTGCAGGCTCCTCCCCAGCTGGGTCCTGGCTGGGGCTCATGCAAGAGGCAACCAATCATTGTGTTTCTCTCACATCGATATTTCTCTCTGTCTTTCCCTCTCTTCCACTCCAAAAATCAATGGAAAAATAGCCTCAGGTGAGGATTTAAAAAAAATTTAGAGGACTATCAAACTGACCTGTAAAGGAGAGAGTTCATGTTTTCAGTTATTTAAGTACATAGTCAACATAACATCTCTATTATGGTTGTTAGTAAAATTTAGAACTTCTGCTTCTTGTGGTATTTTCTGATTCCCATTCAGAAAACCAATCTTAAAGAATCTCAGTGATTTGCCTCAGTGATGAGGTATAAAAAGCACAGCCTTAGCTGGGTGGCTCAGTTAGTTGCGGGTTTGATTCCAGTCAGGGCACAGAGCTAGGTTGTGGGTTCAATCCCCGGTCAGGGCACATGCCGGAGGCAACTGATTGGTGTTTCTCTCTCTCATCCATGTTTTTCCCTCTCTTTCTCAATTCATTTGTCTCTCCATAAAAAAGAAATCAATAAAAACATATCCTAAGGTGAGGATTTTTTTTAAAAAAAGCACAGGCTTCACAATTATACTGAGATTCTATCCCAGCTCCACCATTTCTAGTTTTTAAGAATTTTGGAAAAAAAAAAAAAAGAATGTTTGTGAAGATTAGAATTAATGAATATAACGAAGTAAGTTACCTGACACTTATGGCTGAAGTCATCCAAGGTTTCCTGACTAGGAACTAAATTCAGGACTTAAGTCTTGGCATCTCTTTCTGTGTCAGGCACTCTCCCCAGGCTTTGGGAAAAGAGAGGTAAATAAAATACTCACTGAAAGCTTCCCTATTTTAATGCAACAGTAACTGCTAAATAATAGGAGTGCACAGAGTACTACAGGAACATATGGAAAGAGCCCCAGACTCAACCTGTGCAGTTCAGGAAAAGCTTCCAAAAGGAGTTGGCTCTGGGCTTGAGTCTTGCAAGACTAGCAGGCCTTTAGCCAAGGGGACAAGGGAGTTCCTGGTAAAGCAAGTACAAAAATAAACGGTTAGAGAACAAGAAATTTGGTGTGACTGGACTTAGGGTAGTTTCTTCAGCAACAGTGCTAATGATTGTTTCTTAGGAAATGAAGAAACAATGAAGAAACTATAGATATAACCTGTCAAAAACTATTTGATAGATTTTTTGTTTTTGTTTTTTCTTTTTAAATATATTTTTATTGATTTCAGAGAGGAAGGACGAGGGAGAGAGAGACAGAAACATCAAGGATGAGAGAGAATCATCGATTGGCTG